CGATACTGTAAATAAAGAATACTAACTACTATAATGAAGGTTGAAACTGATTGCATTCAGCATGTGACATTAATGGTGGCTTTTACGGAGAACAGGCTGTGCCGGAGGAAATCTCCAATTTGATCAATTAAAAAAAAGTATCGAAATTATTACGACATTCTTTCCAAATGCAATTATCTCTGCGCATTCATTCATTCGCAAAGAACTCAATGTATATTCAGATATTTTAAAATATTATTCATATCTTTTATTTAAACGAAAATGGCAATATGTATGCGCAAGCTTCTTTGCATTTATTTACGCAGTATACTCCGCCATGGTCACGTGGTATGCAATTAATGATTATTAATAACTGTATCTTGTAATTTTATTCCAAATCTGTATTTGAATAGCAATTCCGGGCTCGGGTCACCTTTCCCACGACCTGTGTCATTTCCAGTGTACAGGCGTACGAAAAGATGTTTACACTTAAATGAGTTGAATTTGTAATTCATAGAATTCCAAAAATTTGCATAAAAAATAATAAATAATAGCAGTCGGGTGATGTTGAATTCAGACGACAGCGACAGCTCTATTGTAATATGAAATGTTTATCATATCGATATACTTTTATTTATTTATTTTTAGGAATTTAGTGTTAACAAAAGAATATACGTAGCTGAATTTTGGTAGCTTTATAGACCCGAATAAAGGCTTAAAATTTCTGCATCGTTCGCGATAGTAAAATATATGTTATAATTATGTTATAATAATAACAATCGATACTGTAAGTTTACTATTTATATCTATGGTTTATAATTATATGAAAAATTATGCAAGATTTTAGATTTTCAAGAACGTGGAAGGACCAATAATGATGAGTCAACTTCATTGACTGCAGATACATATTACTTTATATAGGATTCATTTAATTGTTTCTTAACGTTAGAATAGTATTCCGAATATCTATCGCTATGAGGTTGAAATGATCACAAAACCTTCGGAACGCAAACTCCGATAGTCGCGCATTGAATCATAATTTAAGATTCACTATCAAATAAGGTAATAGGGATCAAAGGGTTCTGACCTGATCTAGAATTAACTTCTATAATTAGTTAGAATTATATAATCCTTACTTCTGAGATTTTTAAGAGTTTTTACGCATGGTCTCATGCATGATAGTCTATAGTACTGTGGTAAGCATAAATGGGTAAATTCTGAATAATCCGGATTCCAACCTGCTTATTTAAGTTATTTAAGTTTGTGTGGATTCTATTTTAAGTTAACACTTTATCATCTTCTGTTTGTGGAGTTAAATATGTAATGACGACTATGATGAAAATTAAATTTAGTGAATAATTGCACTAACTAGAATTGTTTAATCCAGAACAATTAGACTTGATATTTTGTATTGAATTTATATTATAAAAATTAGAGTATAAAGGTCATGGGGTGCTAAACATTAAAAGATGTACCCAGGGGTATTTTTTTTTAACTGTCCGGTGCAAAGCGGAGAATATCCCTGATACTTATTGGTTGAATACATGATGGTCAATCACATGATTAGCTCCAGACGCGCATACAGTATAGTGATTAAAATGCTCATCGCATCGAAACGTTAATGACTCTAAATAAAATTTTTTGAATTCTGACAGTGAGATTGCCGTGTGAACCCTGCACAATCGTCATTTAAGAAACCCTAATGATACCCTAGATAAGCAGTCTCTTTATTGACTGAACATACTTGATAATAATCTGTGAAGCTCGAGCAGGTACGTTCGTCCCTAATTTCGATCCAAAAGATTTTTGCACTTAGCGTTAAGAATTTGTTATAGTCAATACTTTCTAAATGTATTCTAAATATTCTAAATATTCTAAATATTCTAAATATTCTAAATATTCTAAATGTAAATTCAATATCCATAATGTAGGAATTGGAATTAGTCTAGTCGACTATTTTAATCGATTAGTCGGCTAAACAAAGCCGACCAATCTCTACTTATAATACACTATATATATACTTACATTCATTAATTTTAATATTAATTTTAATATAGATTAACATTAAAATTTCAGATATAGAAGTTTTTAATACTAAATACTGAAGAAAAGTTTGATATTCAAAATTTAATATATATAGTAAAGCTATAACTAAATTTCAAAAGGCATTTATTATTAGAAGTTGATTTTTACCCCAGGAACAAGTGGTTAAATAAAGCTAGCGATTTAATATTTGCAATTTAATATTTTGATTATCCTATGCCTCATGATTAACGTTAAAACTTTTACACCAAACCAGAATAGGAATTAATACAATTATACGTATAGTAAGAATATATTTACCTTACTTTGTTTTTAAATCACTTGTTCATTCATTATATAATTATGGTTTGTAATTAAATCAATTTATATAGAATGTAAAAAAGATATTTCCGAGAAAAAAAAGTTTTCACGAATTCATAATCGGTGTTTTTTATCCGATAACATTCCATTTTTATATTTTTATATGTTTTAATTGTAATCTCGCATTTACTTGTTACTACATTAAACGGTTTATTTACTTATGCGTTCACAAATTTGTAAAATTATAAATACGTACTAATGTGGAACTATAATTACAAAAACAAAAAAAAATTATCGTAGCGACAATTGTTCCATATTCAAAGAAACCGAATTTTTTTACCATTAAGTTAAATAACAAAAGTAAGACCATCCATCATCAAAACATTAACCAGAAAAAAAAGCAAGAGACATGGAAGACATTGAAAGTAATCCTGATATAATAGAAGCTGACCTGGATATAACTCCTGTAATGTCTACAGATTATCAAATTGAAGTGGATGAATCGAAAGATAAAGTGGGTGAATTACCAATGAATAAGAATAAGAATAAATATGTCACACATAATTACTCGGAAAACCCAAACTCTCCAATAATATTTGAAAAGTTAACTGACTCAGTTACGTCTCTTGATAAGATGCCAAAAGATGAACGTTCATCTATTGATATTAAATCGGAATCTAATATTATAAAAGACTTTACTATAATAGCTTATTCGCCTGGAAATAAATTTATTGCTGGTTGGTGTAATGATGATGGAATTTTGGCGGTTTGGTCTTTAGTAAATGACAATGGTAATAACGATGGTAATGTTAGTGATTCTCGTCCAATGTTTATTGAAAAGACTAGTTTCAATAAATCAAATACTCAAGATTCTGAAATTTTTCTCTCGGTTTCTGAGGATGGAAATTTTGTTGCCATCTCAAGAATGAAAATTATTTCTGTTACTGATACAGAATCACCAGACATGGATTCCGAACGAAACTTGGGTTTAAATATGCCAGAAGAAACTGTAAAATTAATGTCAACTCCCCAAACATCTTTTACTGTTTACTCAACTTCTCCAAATTCCCCTCGTAATTATACTGGCTTAATTGATCTTGAAACTATTGAAATATTAGGTCCTTTAATATTTATTCATGATTCAAGATTTGTTATTTTTACCAGACATAATTTATACATATTTTCCACAATACTTGGAATACCTATTTATAGTGTTTACTTGGGTTTATTAATTAAATCCGTTCCTGGATATAATCATGATGATAATTTATTTTTAATAGATTGTTACAAATTGCTTTCAACTAGTTTAAAAACTGGCTTGGGTTACATGCTTTGGCAAGAAAAAGATGGTCTAAGTGTTTGGGATTTGAATGGTGTGTTAAAACAATGGTTTTATGTGGATCCAAAAAACTCTTCACCTAAAGATAGTCTAAATGCCATTTCTGAATCTGGTGAATTGGTGGCAAGGTAAATTATAAAAATTTTAATTAATTAAAATTACCACATTAAAAAATCTATACATTATTTTTATATATTATTTTTATATTAGATACTCTAATAAGCCTGGAATGGTAAGCACGGTGATATTTCATACACCAACAGGCTTAAGACTAGAAATTGACACGCCAAAGACAGTATTCTTTATTGCATTCTTGAGTAAACGTGATCACATCGTTGTTTGTTCAACGAATGGTGACAATGTTAGAGTTCAATTGTGGGCTTGTTGGAGTGGAAAATTGATTAAAGAAGACGACCATCCATACATTGATAAAGATCAACCTCTCATTTTTGCCGATGATCAATTTGTCCACGCGACTGGAAATAAAATTGTAAAATATCCTTTGTTTCCTGATAAAACTGAGAAAAATTATCGAATAACCATCAAACAATTATCTTGTGGACAACAATGTTCTCCTGTAAGCAAAAGGTTTGACTTAGATTCATTGCTCGACTCAAGTTTAGGACATCCCGTATGTTCGATTTTAATTCATAAAAAAGAAAAAGTATATTGTAGATTTAAATTTGAACCTTGGAGGAAGTGGATATCACCTAATCTATTTATGCAATGGTTGGATGAAGATGGAAATCGATTTTTATTGGCAGGAAATGATAGCATTCAGATATACAAAACAAAACCGAAAGGTCAAATTCTGAAAGTTGAATTACAATATATATGGACGGTTCCATATTATAAAGAAGCTGATATCAAATACATGTCCTTGGAAATTTTGGAACCTCTGCAAGATGATGTAAATGATGATCATGAGCCATCATATCGTCTTAAAGTGCAACTTACAAATTCTGAGACAATAATTATTTCACTTCCAAAGGCAAATGATAAGTTTACATATCAAATTTTAATAGATGCGTGCATGTCCGCAAATCTTATGCGTCTTCTTTTTGGTGAAGATCCATCATACGTCTCGCGTTTTGATATTCATGCTCAATTAAAAAAATTAATTCAAAATTCAATCGATAAATTTCCATCAGCATTTAATAAAATATCTTTGGGTGATGGTCAATACATATATCCCATGGAAGACTTTATATTATTTGAATGGGATGACATAGTCAAAGCAATTTTAAACAACGAAAAATATATTCCATTATTTCATAATGACGAACAAACTGAAAGTGCTTTAGCTTTGTTGATTGAACTTCAAAAATCTGACCTTCTTGATCAGTTGATTTCTTATATAATACGTCACGTACGTGATCGTTATACACCACCGAATAGTAACCATAGTAACTCGAGACCGTCATCAGTCATTTCAGTGCAAGATATTTCAATAGCGAGAATTCAACAACCCGGATTCGCATGGACAGTCGGAGCTGCGTTATTAGATTTATATCGATATTATCCGGATAAAGGTTCTAAAATATTGAGAGAATGGAGCCATCTTACAACTTCTTTGGAGACACCCACTCGAATTTTACGAACGAATTTAGGGAATCCATTGAAAACTGAAGAAAGGAGCTTTCATCCAGAGTTAAAAACTGTCTCTCGAAATGCACATCTACCAAAAGAGATTTCAGTTCATCAATCAATATGGAAATTGATTGTTTCCAAACTTTTTTGTAATATATTCCATAAAAGAAATGATACTATTATCTCCACAACCACAACCACTACTGCTACTTTTGCACCATCTGATAGATTCAATGCTGGTTCATCAGTGTTCACTATAAATGTTATTAGTGACGATAAAAAAGATTTTCAACAAATTCATGTGCATCGAAAACGTCAACGTCGACAACGATTAAGCACTGTTCAGAAATCTCACCCGGCAAAACTTTGCGTCGTTCCATTGCCAGATTTTTGTGTCTATCCTGCACCTCCAGAGATTAATAAGAATGCTTCTATTCAAGAATACATAAAAAAACTTTGGGCAACATACGTTTCGCCTAAGAGACTTAGTCCTTATGCTGAAGCCGCAATACACGGACCGTTAGAAATGTTTAGTGAGGTTTCTATGGAGGCCATTATCAAATTCAAATGGTAAATTTCACATATTAATAGATTAGTATTTATTTAGTATTTGATTTTTTTTTCAGACTTGTTTTATAATGCTCTTGTTTTTTTTTGGATATGATAGGGAAAAATATGCACGCAAGGGATTCTTTTGGATATTCTTTGGTTGTTTAATAT